AAATTTTTAACCTCTTTAAAGGACACAACTAATTAAAATCAGCAACAACACTCCATAATTTTATCTGATTGAATTTGTTTTTTTGCAGTGTGTTGAATATGATGTTGGAGGTATTTAAAGAGGTAAGAATTGTGGTTGGATAGTGAACCACCGCACAAAATAAATTGTAGGGTTGAGATAATTTTAATATGATCTAAGGGTTGAAAATAAGAAGAGGAAAGCACAATCCGCGTGGTATTCATTTGGCCAATCAGAGAGCTGTTTCGTGGAGCTGATGGGATGGAGCTGGTGGTCGAAAATTCGGATTACATACATCCGACTTTATTTTTTTTCATGCTGGCATGCATGAGAATGGTTAACCTCTGACACATGCACCAGGCATCCGACTTTATTTTTTTTCGGACTTCTGCTTTTCGGATTAAAGAAATTCGACTTCTCCTTCTGACAATTATGATCTGACATTTCCGTCGAAATTGGAAAACCCCACAAAACCTTCAAAAAAACCCTACAAAAATCGGATTAGCCAACCCCGTTTCCCGTAAATTCATACCCTAACTCTGACATTCGTATTTTGGGAATGGATGCATGGAATTCCCGTAAATCCGTCCTTTCCTCTATTAAATACTCCCTTCTTTCTGGTTAGATCTTGACAGTTGTTTTTGGCACTATATTTTAGGAGACCAATTAATAGACAAACAAATATCTTTCATACCTATGAGGTTAATTAATTCTATCCAATCCAAATGTAGATGCATTCTATGTGTACGTCAAGTCGTCTTTGCCGGCTTGCTCATACAGGTAGCTATATTGCCCTCCATCTTTTCTGTATGTGCCCAAACAAACTACGAAGGTATGTGTTTGTTCCATTGATTGTGATTTATTTTTATTGCCTTTGAGTTTGCCTTAGCTTCTGTGTTTTGTGGAGCAATGCTGTGAAGCATTCTTGAATGCATGCAGTGACAAAAACGGCCGTCTGCAAGTCTACCACAGCACAGAAGACGCTTAATTTGTAACTGGGGAAGATCCAATATTGCGTCAAATTCAGTTGAGTTTTGATCTCAACAAGCAATCCACCCCGACCTTCTTCAAATATGGACATGGTAGAGCAAGACTACTCGTCATATCCCCATGTGGTGTGGAGGAGTCACCCAGCCACAACCATAAATACGAGATAGGCATGGCTGCATGTTGCAGCCCCTCTGTCCCTTCTTAGTCCCCATCATGCTAACAAGTTTTTGCTCTGTTTTGTTAATTATTGTGTAATCCCCATCATTGATGTAACTGCAATCATTGAACTGTTGTTTTTGTTTCTATTTCTCAATGTTGAATGGTGCTAATTAACTGCAATAATTAAACTACTCTTTTCTGTTTTGATTTTAAGTTCTTTTTCACGCCTTTTTGGCTTGTTTTACACCGTTGGGCACAAGCTTGCGCGCAACGCGCTTTCCCATGCTAGTATATAATATATATAGATATAGATATAAATATACATTACCTACAAATATTTAATTTGTACCATCCATATATACTTCAATTAATTCAACTCGAAATATACTAACAAATTAGTACAATTAGTAAAAATCAAAACTACCCGAGAATTATTGAGTTCTAAAGGGAAAACACATGAAACTAAAAATTAAATGACAAGCATTTCCGATTAATAATAGTAACAAAATGAAAAGAAGATTAATCACTACTACAAGAATGACATATAACGTCACACCTTTAACGACGGTTCTTTAAAAACCGACGTAGTAGGGGACCCAGGAACTATTTTAAGACGGTTTCCCAAAGAACCGACGTTGCACACTTTGAAAAAAATGTGGGTGCAATTTTTTTAGTTTTATATGTATACTTGTAATGTCGGTTTGCAAAGAACCAACTTTGAAAAATATACTCCGTACTAATAAATTAGAAACCGTCCCTGCAGCCCTTTACGAAGTAAATTAGAAACCGTTCCAGCACCTCACAGAAGCCCCAAACCCTTCGCTTCATCTACCTCAGCGACTTCGTCCGCCAAACCCTCGGCGAGCTTCGTCTACCTCCGCGACTTCGTCCGCCAAACCCTCAGCGAGCTTCGTCTACCTCCACGACTTCATCCGCCGAACCCTCCGTGAGCTTCGTGTACCTCCGCGACTTCATCCGCCAAACCATCCGCGAGCTTCGTCTACCTCTTGCTCGATGGATAATTGGCCGCTGCTCTGCTCTAATTCGCCATAACTTCATCTACCTCGTGCTCGACTCTGGTTTCTCTGCGGAACCTGGTAAGTTCTCTCCTATTCTCAATTTCTCCATCCATTTGAATCTGTAATTCTGGAATGGGTTGCTATAAATTAAACGAGAGTGAGTTGAATTTGTCCATCAGAGTCTCAATGCTATCAACTCTGGTTTGTGTGTTTATCTTGTGTGTTGAATTTCTTCCACTTTTCACTGCATTTTGATCTTTCTTTTTATTATTCATACCTTTGGATTTCAAGCTTGTTTTCTGTAATTTTGAAACTCTGGTTTGTGTGTTTATCTTGTGTGTTGAATTTCATAATCTTTTCACTGCATTTTGATATTTATTTTTATTATCCAGATTTGTTTTTTCATTCAATGGAATTAGTCTAGCCTCTTTAATTGATGAATGTTGTACTCCGATCCATTTGGTAATTCATTTGATTCCTTTGCTGCAGATAAGGCATCTAGAATGTTAAGTTGGTGATGCTTCAATCCAGGAATTGCCATGGAAGAGTTCTCCAAATGGGGTATTGGATCTATTATATTGACATCAGGCACACTGTCTCCATTGGATTCATTCCTAATGAATTAAAGTTGTAAGTATCTTATACACTGTTCTTACTATTTTCTTACATTGTGGTTTTGTCATAATTGATTTTCTTACAAGTTATTACTTCCAACATTTGCAGAGAATTCCCTATTCGTTTGGAAAACCCTCATGTCATACCAGAAGGTCAAATATGGGCAGGGGTTGTACCTGTTGGCCCATCTGGTCTCCAAGACAATCTGTTGTGGAATTTGGGAAAGAATATGCAAACACAGAATATAACCTTGATTAAGTTATTATATCATTGTTGACCCATAATGGTGATGTTACATTGATTCTTCTTCTTTTATAAAGGACTATATGTCTACGTTGTAGGATAAATCAGGTTCTGGAGCAGTGTTTTTTGCAGTCTGCCATGGAAAGGTACATATACCAATATACCATACAACTTGATTTTGAGTTTTTAACTGGATAAGTCACTTATGGCAAATTGTTTGAAAACTTATTTGAATTTCAAAATGCTAATGTATCTCTGGAACTACTAATTTTAGAGCGTGATTATTTAGCATGATTATGGTGCACTGGTAAAGGTTCTGCTGTGTGATTGAGAGGTCACAACTCACAAGTTCAATTCTTGGGAGCGGCCTCTTGTCAAAATGACAATGGAAGGCTTGCCTCCTATACACTCTTGTTATGGGACCCTTCCCTTCCCCCTTGCTTTGCAGGACACCAATGTGGACATGACTGCCCTTTACTTTTCGGAATATTCCCCTCTACATTCTACAATCACCTTTTATGCTCACATAAATATGGAATAGGTGAGTGAAGGATTAGATTTTGCTGACCATGCTGGTAGAGCTGTGGTGATCACTGGCTTACCATTTGCAACAACAAATGATCCTAAGGTTTGTCTTCTTTCTCTTTGTTCCTGCAATTTATGAATATGCCAATTGTTAATTTGCTAAGGGCAGTTGACCTTTAACCTTTTATCTCATGATTTCTTCGTAATAAAGTTTGCGACATTACATGAAATGCTCAGTTTATTTCAGCCTTTGAGATAGGTGTGTGGTGATATTATTGGAAAGTAGGTGTGGTGTATAATTTTTTGTTTTTTCTCTAAAACTTGCTTATATATTTTACGCAGTATATTTTTTGCAGGTCTTCAAGAACCATTTTCGGCGATATAAGAAGTGTATTTCGTTGCAGAGATATAACATGAGGGATTTCAGCCGGACTTCAAGAAGAACCCATTCAATTGTGTTTAGTATTGAATGTCTTTTTCGTAGGCATATTGATCTTATTAGATTTTTTGTTAGTATTTACTTTATCTGTAAATGTTTTTTTGTATTTAGTTTCGTGGAATGTATTTTGATATTCTGAATGCTTACCTTTTTGGAAACAAAGTACTTGTATACTACACTGGTGGTTAATTGAATTAACCAACCCAGTGGATATGTATATTTTTTTTATTAAAAAAAGCTACTTACAACGTCGGTTTTATTTTAAAACCGACGTAATATGTATTTTTTTATTTTTGTGAAAATACCTTTAACGTCGGTTCCGGGAGACGATTGACGTAGTAAGTATTTTTTTTTATTTTTTGAGGTTGTATTCGACGTCGGTTTTTTCGAGTAACCGACGTGGTAGGTTATATTCATTTTTTAAAGCACACTTATTACGTCGGTTTGTGAACCGACGTCAAATGTCCGTACCTTTTACGTCTCTTACTTACACGTCGGTTAGAAAACCGACGTTAAAGGTGTCAAATAACCGACGTAAAAACCCCTTCGTGTAGTAGTGAATGTAGATGTTTAGTACAAGCTATTATATACGGAGTACTATGTATAACTCTTATGCCTTAGATCCTCCATGTCTTCTTCTAGTTGGATCTCACAATTTATATTAGTACCAGCTGCCTCTTTTATGACCTCATTTTCTTTATCTTCCTCAATTTTGATCACACTCTCTCCATCACCTAGAGAAACACATGTTTCCTTCCCACTATCTCCTCTCAAAAGCTATTTTGTTATAACATTTCTGCTTCCTATTTGACTGTTAATCTAGTTCAACATGCTTGTAGCAATCACATTCAAATAGATTATCACTTTGTCATAGAGCGCGTGACACATGGAGACTTAGTTGTCAAGTAGATCCTTACACAGTTACAGTTAGCTGATATTTTTACTAAAAGTCTTTCTAGTCATCAATTTTTTTTAAAGAACAACATGCGTGTTGCATCTCCCGTACAACTTGAGGGGGTGTAATAGAATATTATTAGGCATATTTGTTCCTAATAAAACTATACATGTCAGGACTTCTATTGGAATACATTTTCACAATAGTCAGGACTCCTATTGGAGTACCTTTTCACAATAGTCATTCTCTAAAAGTGGTCATAGTCAAAGACGTGGTGCAATTGTGAAATTGTTGCAATACCTATAAGACCAAAAGTCGAATACTCTAAAAACAACAAGAACTTCCAAATAATAATAACAAAAAAATGAAAACAAGATTAACTTAGATGTTTAGTACATGATTATATATACATCGTATAACTATTAATTATGCCCTAGCTCCTTCATCAGCCTTGACTCCCATATCTTCTTCTATTTGGATCTCACAATTTATATTAGCCTCCATCTTATCAATGGCCCCATTTTTCCTATCATCTTCAACTGTGATCTCACTCTCTCCATCACCTAGAGCAACACAAGTTTCCTTCCTACTATCTCCCTCTATGATATGAATATTACAATATGTATTATCAACCAGCTGATCACCCACTTGAACTATCCCTCCTTTCTGCTTCTTCATAGCCTCCCTCTGCTGAGCAACTATGATTGCCTCACGGTGCTGAGCAACTAACATGTCCAACAATCTGTAGAACTCATTCACCTTTTCATCAAACTCAACTATGTTGATTTTCTTAGGGTCTTCCATGCAAAGCCTTATGACTTCTTCAAAAGCTTCCTCTAAGTTTTTAATAAGTTGTGACTTCATCCTATTTGCTCTAATTTCCCTCCCCTTGGTCCAATAGTTTTCTACCATGGAAATAAAAGCTACTGCCACTGGGTACCAATGAGAAACTCGACGATATTGGGGTTCCCCAACCAATGTCAGTACAAAAACTTCAACACAACTCAAACTGAACATGGAGAACCAAGCTCCAATTTCAAACAGCAAGTTGACTGAAGGCCATTCATTTGTTCTTCTGTATTCCATATGACCTAAACGTATCCAATATACTAATCCTAGCACATTGACCACTATGTGGAAGGAAACTAGGGTTTTGGAGACGCGTGGAATGTCCCATGTGTTTAGCACAACGCTTCCAAACCACATCAACATCCAAAACCCTAAAATTAATCCATGGCTACTAATGAGTTTTCTTTTGAACAGTATCACTACTATCACTATGATGATGGAGATGCCTCCAAAAACTGGGATAGTTATGGCAAGGGTTGTTATATTACCTGAAAGTCAACACCAAAAATGAATATATTAACTTCCTATCATGTTGAGAAGTGCAATGGCTATAGTAATTGTGCATGGTTTTTAGCTAGTCCTTGCACCTTTTTTCATAGGGATATTTACTAATATATGACTAAAACATTGACAATTTCAGAATATATGACTACTACTTTTGTACATCCCAAAATATGATTAAATATTAGTTTTATACATACGAAACACTATCATATTGGGAAGAAAAAAGATAGAAGTCATATTTTGGGAAACACATTAAATTTTAGTCATATGTGGGTTAATTTTCTATTTTTCATATTCAGTTCAAGTCTAATATTGTACTTTAACTTCACCATTCACCAATATGTAGATATGTGATCTGAGTATACGGTACCTAAATAAATAAAATAAGCATACACACATCCCCATATATATAGTGAGTGATTAAATAAAAAGTAACGCTAATATAAAAAAAGGGTAAGGTAAAAAATTGCATCTTTTTAGTAATTACCCACGTTCACACACTACAAAAAAATAGGAGATTAATAGGGATTTTTTGCGGGAATCTCCCAAAATTCATAGAAGATTATGCATGGATATGTCAAATCTGTGTCAAAAAATTTTGGGCACAAACTATTTGTCACGAAATCATTTGTCAATTCATACCAAATTCACGTCAATTGCGTAATTTTTTTGTAGCGAAAAAATAAATGAAGACTACCGTACGATAAAAAAGACGGCCCACTATTATTTGACCATGTAGGCAGAAATTTACATACTTTTTCAACTATGCTACTACGTATCATACTTTTCATTTATTTTCTCCAAGTTTTTTAGTCATTTGATGTGTTTGGTCTACAATCTACTGCAACCTATTCATGCTGACTTTTCATACTACCTTCGTCCCAAATTGATTTGCAAATTTAACTTTTGTTGGTCAAATGGTTTCATTTTATTTGCTTAATTAGAATATCAAGTTTTAATTATATTCTAATTTGGAGTTTGCAACTTTGAAAAGATTTTAATGTAGTTTTTGAATATGTAAATTTTAATTATTAAAAATTGAGTTAATTATCGATAGGAAGAATTGACTTTTATTGTTGATTAACCGAAAAATGTTGACTTTGCAAAATAATTTAGGTCGGAAGGAGTATTTAGAGGTTATTTGTTCGGTAGGCTATACACACAGGCAAACACGTGCAAATAATATACACATAAACGAGGTTAAATATCTCTGCCTCGTGTGAATTGAACTAGTATTCCATTTACAATTTCGAATAAGGCAAAAACAAAAACTGTTTTGTTAAGTATTTCACTAGCTATTTCCATACCTTTGCCAAAAAAAAGTATTTCCATACCTATTTGTTAAGTATTTCCATACCTATTCAATATTGATAAAAATTATACTCCCTCGGTCTCTTTTTATTTAGTCAAAATTGAATTTTCAAGCCAATAATATTAAACATTGACCGATTAAACATTGACTAAATACACATAGCATATTTTTAATAAGTTTATTAAAGTATAAACTTATTATGTTTCACATAAATATACTATACTATGTGTACGTAATAGTTGATATAAGCTACTCCCTCCGTCCCGTTGGAATGTTCCCGCTTTCCTTTTTTGGATGTCCCGTTGGAAAATTCTCATTTCCCTAAATGGAAAGTTATCCTACATCAAAACAGGGTCAAACAGTGCAAAACAGTGTCAAACAGTGTCGAAACAATGTCAAACAATGTCGAAACAGTGTCAAAACAGTAAAATTTACCCTCTGGTAAGTTTATTTCCTTAATATGTGTGTAGGTCAAACCGGGAACATTCCAACGGGACGGAGGGAGTGTAAAAGTTTGTCATTTTGACTTAAAAAGTCAAAGATGACTAAATAAAAAGGGACATAGTAGTATAGAGTTTAAATCAATAGCACTGGATTCTAGTATCAATTAATTATATACATATTTATCACTTAAAAATGTTTAAAAATTCTTAATAATATAGCTAGCATGGAAATACGGAATCCAAGAGATATATGGATCCACAAATTTGTAACTATATAAGCAAACCGTACCCAAAGATACCTGTTCAAAATGTTTTTAATTTGTAAGTATATATAAATACCTGAACTACTACCATTTGACAGAGAAGGAGAAGGAGAAGGAGCCGGAGCTTTCGGCGATTCTCTCCGCGCCGTAATGCATGTCGAGGCTAAGAGGAGTAAATACAAAGATGTTATGATGACATGAGTTTGGAGATTCATGTATCGATTCTTTCACGTAAACTTTGATCGAAAAAACTAATTAATAATAATAATTTACGTAAATTATATGGCAACTAGCTAGCTCTTCTCAACCATGCTCGGAAGTAACTAAAATTAAAGGCTGAACTTTGGTAGATTCTGCAGATTTGTGTACCAAGAAAGATTGGGAAGGCAGGAGACTTGGGTTCCTCTTCTATTACAATTTACAGAAGAGTATGTAAGGCATTAGGCATGGACATGCATGACAAAGAGTAAGGCATCCTATTGATTGCAACGTAGCAAATTAGGCAGAGGTCAGACCTAGCCCCATTAAAAATTGGATAGATGCTATGTTAAAACAGCACGTGATGTGTATGGACGAATATGTAGTATTGTGTTGTATTTAATTATTTTTTATAGCTTTCTATACTAAGCTGAGGGTAGATCATATCCAGGAAATAGACGTGGGGCGGGCTAAACAATCAAAAAAATATTACCGCATTCACCACCACTACAAGAAATCACGGAATTTAGTGGCTGAAAATCCGACACTAAATCCGACACAAAAGGGTATACCGCATAAACGTCTAGCTTAAGACTATTATCGAACTGAGCTTTTTAATTACAAACTATTTGAGTTCAAGTTTGATTACAAATCTGATTTAACGATCTGAGTTTAACGAGGTTCGAATTCGAAGACGAGCTAGATAGAATTCTTACGACAACAACAACATCTAAGCCTTAATCCCAAAAGAATTTGGGTCGGCTAACATGAATCGATCCATGATATCGATGATAAAAAACAAAAAAAAAAGATAAAATGGATAAGATACAAATAAATAAATAAATAAATAAATAAATAAATAAATAAATAAATAAATATATAAATAAATAAATAAATAAATATAAAAACATAAAAGATAAAAAGATAAAGAAAAGATATATAGAAAAGAGATCTACTAAGTGGAAGACTGTTGGCCGTCACGCCTCTATCACCATGCTCTCCTCTTTTATCCTGGCTTGGGGCATGCATGATATCTGATGGAGTATATGGCCCAAGAACCCCCGGCCCACATACTTTCACTACTACAATTAGGCCCAACAGGCCCAAGTGGCCCAAACACAGCATACTGAACTCCGGACAGCCCATACTACAATAGGGTACGTGCGTCCAGAAATAGTTGCACCTGGTCCAGAAACATCAATGGGGACGTACGTCCCTCAACACATGACGGCCCTCCGGGTACGTACGTCCTCTAACACATGAAGAGCTCCAGGTACGTACGGCCTCTAACACATGATGGTCCTCCCCAGCTCCGTACGGCCCCAGGGGACATACGTCCTCCTGCACATGAAGTCCAACCCAGCTACGTACGGCCCCCAGGGGACGTACGTCATCCTGCACATGAATTCCTCCACAGCTACTTACGGCCCCAGGGGACGTACGTCCTTCAGCACATGAGGTCCTCCCCAGATACATACGTCCCCAGCACGCCACAAGGGCCCAAATGGCCCCTGGGTATGTACGGCCTTCAGCACAGCCAGCCTTCGGCTTATACATAGCCTTCGGCACATGCAGCACCCGGGTGCATGTAATCGAGGGCACTCTCCTCGACAGGATCTCCTCTCCACATGCTCTGAATACCGCATTGAATGCAGCGTCAACTCCAACCACCACATTGAATGCGGTGTCACATGTTGTGTCGGCGCCACCCAGGCTGAGTCAACCCTCCACCGGTTATTGCTTGACATGTGTACCATCATTTATTCCACCTAGCATTTATGGCAGCTATAAATAGCTAGCCAATTCTTCATTGTAAAGAACCCGAATAACTTCTTCATTAATACATACTCACTCTCTCTCTTACTTGTTCTTACTTCTCTACGTACCCCTCAGCAGTATCCCCCCGATATACTATCCGTCAATATTAAAAAATGATCTCATGGCGGAATCAAGCATTTCAGCCCAACTGGTTGTGAGGTTACCGTGCCTAGTGAGAGGTCTCGAGTTCGAAACCCGCTAGGCACATAAGGGTTTGAAACTCAATGGAGTGCGTTTCAGCCCTGATTACTTCAGCCCCCCCCCCCCCCCCCCCCCGCCCCCCCGACGCCCCCTGCAGTAAAAAAACAAAAAACGATCTCATGGCGGAGTTCTAGATAAATTTCTTAATAATCAAAATTTTATTTACGTAACCAATGATAATTAATGACAAATTAGGTAATCAAATAGTTAATAATAAACATTAGTACGGTAATATATTTACATGGATCTAAATATATATAATTAATAATCATTTAGGATTAAGGATTTAGTTTTTTTTTAGATTTAGGATTTAGTTATTTAGGTCACCATGTCAATGGATTAATAATTAAAATACCCCAAACTTTGAAGGGGTGTGAGGTAAGCACCTCAAACTTGCATATGTAGAGGCCGTTTGGTAACACGAAAATTGGCTGATTCGTCTGATTCTCCTGAAATTTATGAAGTTCTGGTTGAAGTGGCTGCATTGGCTGATTCTGCTGATTTAAAAAAAATTAAAATATATTTTATTAATAAAATAAAGAAAAAGTTATATGTAAAAATAACTAAAATGGTCATCTACAGTAACTTCAGCCAATACAGCCAAAAAGTAACTCCAACCTTACTTTTTCTTATTATTACACAATTCAGCGCGCCAAAACAAAAATTACGTGTTTGGTGTAAAAGTTGGCTAATAAGCCTTATAAGCCAAAAACAGTGTTACCAAACGGCCTCGTAATTTAAATACCCCAAACTTTTTATAAAAAGTTAGTTTAGCACCATGATCTTGTATTATTTATTTCAAAAATGTTAATAATTGGTGTTAATTTCATAATTTAAAACATTTTAGCATTCATGAAGATACAATTAGTATACCCCCTAAACTCTACAAAATAACATTTTAGCATTCTAAACTTTCAATGTAAAATAAATAGTACCCCCCCCCCCCCCCCCCCAACTCTATAAAATTGCAATGTTTTGAATTTGCTCTTTTAAATTATGCAATTAACATCATAAATTTTTGAAATGATACATGACCATGGTGTTATAATAAGTTTTTATATAATGTTTAGGGTATTTAAATTACATAAGAAAGTTTGGGGCGTTTATCTCACATCCCTTCAAAGTTCGGGGTATTTTAATTATTTTTCCCATTTATAAAAAATTTTATGATGTTTTATGTTTTTATTATAAATAAAACTATGATTTTTTTATTAATAAATAAATCTATTAGAAATTATAGATTAGGGGTAGAATAGAAGAAAAGACATATTACTCATATTTGGAGAATAAAAACGTATAGTTAGTTCTAATGCGGAATTTTGGGCTACTTTTAGTCCAATTTAGGGCTAATACCCGTTATGTTTTTCAATAACAACAAAAAAACGAGTGTAGGAAGAAGTTAAACTATGTAATATTTATAATATGATAAAAGGAATATTCTCGAAATAGGAGTAAAAATGTGTTGAAATTCCGAAATAGAAGCGTCATACTTTTAGTTATTAAATACCAGTAATTACTATCAAGCTTGAAAAATACTGTCATTTGATTTGGTAATGCGAAATTATGATATAAAGTATATGGAGCACAAATTTTCAAAATGGTGGGAAATATTTAGAGTTCGTTTGATAACATTAGAATTGGCTGAATTGCCTAATTATGCTAAAATTTATGAAGTCTAGAAAATATCATATTTATATGTTTTTGTTATTAAAATAAAGAAAAAAAAAAGAAAAATAGATAAAATGATCCCTTACAATCAAAGTAACTTTAATCTCACTTATTTTGATTACTACAAAATTTAGCGAGCGAAATCAAAGTTTCATGAAAAAGTTGGTTGATATGGCTGATAAGCCGAAAAACATAGCTATCACGGCAAAAAAAAGGCACCAAGTTATAAAGGCTTTGGAGAATGTCATAACTTAGCTTATACTCCCAATTAATAAGCTAAAGTTACAGATGAATTTTAGTGACAACTCCAGTACCTTTCTGAAAAATGGGGTACCGTACCTATCATTCATTTAATTTGACCATATCACTTTATCATTTTTAATTTAGATTTAAATAATTCAACTGCTACGTTTTAATTGGTCCATGTGAATAAAGGTATGATATGTTATGGGTACCATAGAATCTACCATCAAATAACTCAAACTTGTGAGAAAATTAAAGCATCTTCAGATGCGCAAATTGAGTGTTCCCATTAACTTTGTGACAAACATTAATTGTCAAAATAGAACTAAAAGATGACAACCTTGCACAAATAGGACAAAAAAGTAAACAATGTTTTGATGGGACTAATTATGTGTGTTGGACAAATATACCCTTATTGCTATTAAAATGTTTTAATTCATAATAAAATAATAAAAAATCATAAAAATTCGTAAAAATACTAAAAATGAAAATATTTAAATAATAATAAGGGTGTTTCACAGGAATATTACTAAAATAAGTCATATTTACATAAATATGACTATTCATTACTACAATGTGGTGTTGTGGTAACTTAAGCTCAAAACTTGAACATGAATTACTATGATTTCATTACTACTCTAGTCATTAGTCGTATTTTTGTAAATCATCTTTATTTTGGTCATATTTATGTAATTATTTCTAATAATAATTCAATTATTAAAAAAACTAAAAAAATTAAAAAATAAAAAACGCAAAAACAAATCACTGCCGCCTCTACCGCCCCTGCACCACCACCTCCAGTGACCATGGGAAAAAATGCTACATCCACTACGAATTCCATTTTTATGGCAGAATCAATGAAAATTTTGGCATTCACAAAGAGTAATATGTCAATTTTTGGCATTTTTTACACCGGTCGGAGGTGGTGGTGCAGGGAGGTAGTACAAGTAGTAGGAAAGGCATCTAATTTTAAAAAAATAATAAATTACAAAAAATGCCACATACATTAGGAATGCCATATTTATGACAAATTCAATGGAAATTTTGGCATTCTCAAAGAGTAATATGCCATTTTTTTTGGAATTTTCATAAAATATGACATTTTTACACCAATCGGAGGTGGTGGTGCAGGGAGGTAGTACAGGCGGTGGAAAAGACATGCATATATTTTTTCATTTTTTATGGAGTTTTACTGTTTTTTATTAATTTTTAATTTTTTTTATTTAAAAAAAAAGAAAATTAAATTTTTTATTTTATAAGTACTTTATTATATTTTTGTTATTTTATTAAATTTTTTCGAA